ACTACAATTTAGCAATAACTCCAAACTGGCAAGCTCTGGGTGGTTCTGGTCATTGTGGTAATCAAGTGGAGTCACCCCACAATGGCTCTTTTTTGGTGATGCCTGAGTGACTTTCAGAGTAAACAGAGATGTGATGTTGTCTGACAGGGACATAACCATTCTGTCACTGAAGATTCGTTCCTACTATTGATGTATATTGGTGATGGCGAGGAGAGGTAAGAGCCATCTAGGGTTGCTAATGGTTGGCGAAGGAAGGGATGGAGAAGAATGTGTAATGCTATAGCCAGACTGTTTGAAGGCATTAGAGTTCCCTTTCTGTGGTTTCTCAAGAATCTAGACTCAAGGCACATCTACACTGTAGAAATAATGTAGTTTGATGCCACTTTAACTGCCATAGCTCCATCCTATAAAATCTTGTGATTTGTGGTTTTGTGAGGCACCAGCACTCTTTGGCAGAGCAGAACCAAAGACTTTGTGTAACTACAAATCCCAAGTTTCCATAGATGGAGCTACAGCACTTAAAGTGGTGTCAAACTGCATTATTTCTACAGTGTAGATGCACCTTGAGTCTAGATTCTTTACCTAATGGGTGAGTTACTTTGTAATCCCTTTAAATCACCGTGCAGCTGTTTTCTGCTTCTGCCAGTGCATTGGTTTCCTTTTCCCTATGGGGAAGAGGTCAGGGAAGTCGAGGGGGGTTCCTGGGGGGGCATGGTGTGGTGTGTGTGTCCTATGTGTTGGGATATAGCAACTTTGCATGCTGAGTCTTTCTAGGGTTGTAGGTATGCATGTCTATGGTAGTTTTATTACCCACTAATAGCCCCTCCTCATTTCCTGTTTTTTAACTAAGCACACCTCACCTTTTGGCCCATGCTTGAGAATCTTTATTACCCTTTGTCCTTTTCCCCTGAAGATGCTTGACCAGCAAGCATGCTAGAGCAAAACTTCCTTAGAAGCATGTAGAACTACTTTTCTTACTTTTTCTTTTCTTTGCAACATGAAGCTAGACCTGTATATCTCCATATACATGATTTTGTAAGTAAATATCATTTTATTTTTACTCTAACTGAAATCTCTGTGTTGTTTTGTAGACACGTGGGTGTGGGAGATAAATGTGGATCTAGTCTGTTCCTGCTCATCATTATTCTGTTGTGTTTTATTCTGCTGGTGAGATTAAGCAATCTCTCCTGTTTCTTGAGCATCCTAGCAGATATCAAGAAAATATTTTCCAACACTATGTGTACCCATGGCAGCCAGGGGAGCCCTCCCCCCTGTGGTGGCTTAATCCTGATAGCCACATGGTGCATGCTCAAAAGTTTTCTTTCCATGACTGTTCCATTAATTGCAAATATATGTGCACCATACTTCCTTAGTATGCACTACTGCCAGCGGATGGTCAATTTCTGTGAATATGATACAGGGCCAGACACGGGGTGTTGTGGTGGGCAGGGGGCCTCCCCCCTGTAATAGCTTACTCTTGAGAGCTGCATGCAGCATCCTCAAAAGTATGAAGCATGCTCAAAAATAACAACTTAAATGCATGGTTGCTTACATGTAGGGACCTGGACCGGCCATGTGCAGTCATGGCGGGTGGGGGGCTTCCCCCCTGTGATGGCTTAGTCCTGATAGCTGCATGCCACCTCATTTTCTTGTGTGTTACCTTGTGGTTGGTTTAGTCAGCAGGAGCATCTCATTGCTAAGTATCTTGCACTGACCCTTTCCTCCTTTTCTGCAGATTTCCCAGCAGGCAAAGGGGAAGCAGGTATCCTCACACTTTGCCCCATGGAGCCAGATGAGGATGCAACTTGGATACAATAGGTAGACATGCCCCAGGAGGAGGAACCTACAGCTGGTACTAGCAATGAGAACTCTCCTGAGGCTTCAACATCCCTGGTCACAGGTGCTACTGGTTGGTACATCCCACAACCATGCACCTCTCTGGTATACCCTGTGTGCTATTGGGTGGGGGTGGGCACTGGGTGCTTTTGGGACATGGTTCCCACATAATTGTGAGTGTCTCAGGTGTTAAACCAATACCATTTATTGTTGACATGTGGAATGCCACTCTTCTCATCATGCATCACTTATCACTTCTCTGTTCTCTTCCACAGTGTCCATCACGGCCAGACAAAGGACTCAACTGACTCCAGCAGAACATCTTGCTCTAATTAAAAGAAGACACAACAGGAGCACAGCTGCACAAACTGCAAAGAAACTTATGGAGCATTCATCAAGGCAGATGAACCTCATGCTAGACCATATGAGGGAGCAAACACTGTGGGAAGAGGACCAAGAGGACCAGGCTTTGGAAAGAGACAGCCAAAGCATGGAGAGGCTGATTGCACAAAGCCAAAGGGAGTTTGAAGTGTTCAGTTGTTGTTTATAGGAGCAAACAAACATTATGAGGGATCTGGCATCTTTCATAACATCAAATCAGGGGTACATTTAGGGAAGCACCCCAGGTGAAGAGGAAAAAAGTAACTGGCCAACCAAACCCCACTTAGTGGACTGCTGAGTGATCCCAGCACCAGTGCCCTCTCACTCTGTGGCCTCACCTCTAGTGTGCTGCCCTCAAGTGCTTCCTCGGGTGGGGGGCTCCCAAATTCTCCCTAATGCTGCTGTTGGAGCTAGGCAGCAGTCTCCCAGCCCTGGTACTATTTCCCTTGGCAGGCCTGGCAGGAAAATAAAGAAGCCTGTGCCACTGTCACCCTGAGATGCCATAGTTCCGTGACTGTTCTATATAGCCTGAACTAATCGGTGGAGGTGGGGTGGAATGGAGTTTTTCTGAACAGGAACCACATTTTTCACAGAAGCATTTAGAAAAAACAATGTTACTGTTCCCCCCCCAAAAAAATATGTTGTTAAATGGTTTGCAAACTGTATTCTTTCAATAAAGCAAGCATTTTACAAACACCCCCCCCCCAAGACATAACTATGTACATCCTACAGGCACAACAATAAACATGTATAACACATTAATGCCCTGGCCGAGGACCACAATCCCTATGCGCCTCCTCCAGATTAGACATCCTCTGCTCCAGTCCGTCGAACTGCTCCAATATAAGATTCCCTGGAAAAACATAAAGGGGAGGCATCAGGAAAGTATGACCTGTTATGAAGAAGGTGTTTCCTGCCTCCCATACCTTAGCATTGGCATCCGTAACTGTACACTTACAGAAGCCTGGAGGTGGAGCCTC